AATCATAGCGTTGTCGGTGTTAAGGGGTTGCCGTAACCCGAAATGTTTACCGTTGAATTCGAACTACCAGCTGTATAGTCGGAAATTCTAAAATGCTTATAGTTTTAGTTTTATATTCCGTGTCTCTTAGGTAGAAGTCGTTTGTGAATAGTGCGGAAACATGTTAGATGCAAGCTTACTTAGGTAGAACGTAATGTTAGAGTGCATTTTCCGTGGTCGCGCATCACTCGACACAAATAACTAGGTATCTGGCATATAAAGCTAGGTACAACGTAATTTGGAAGGTGTTTTCTACGAACTAAGCATGCACAGTAGATTCAGCTTTGATTTAAACTACGAGAATTCTACATTAATGGGGCGAATTGGGTAATCGGTTGAGACAATTACATCGAACGATTTGCGTGACTCAAAACAACATCATTTATAAGTAAGGTATTTTATTTCCACTGCCTTTCAAAGTATTATAATGTACATTTAAAAAAATAAAAAAATCATACAAAATCATTTTTTTAATTTACAAAATGCAAAAAACTACTGTCATATTTGTCGTGTGTGTAGAATATACTATAGGAAAGGACTTCTAGGTCACAATTTTCTATTTTGTCAAGAAATTAGAACAAGGAGTTAATCTCTCTGTTTTATTTGTCTTTTTTTTCCAGTCATTCAAGTGAGACTCAACCGATTTTGAAAAAAAAAACTTAACACAATTTTATCGGTTTTCTGTTGACTTAGTTATTTTCCTGTTTAATACAATTTAAACAATGTAATTAATTTGTACGAGATCTTATTTCAACTACGTTTTCACCTATCGACTGAAAGCTGAGTTAAAATAATAAAACTTGAATGAAATTATTTAAATTGAAACATTCGTGGGTGGCAAGAATCGTAAAGTTCTCAGTTTATATTTTTACTCGTAGTGTCATGTTTTTTCAATTCAACCTAGCATTCAATTAGCGCTTTGTAAAGCTAAGTGTAATAGATTTTTAGTTTTAAAATGAAATTATAATAATGCATGTATAATATTTTGAACACAAAACAGGGAAGTGAAAGAACAATGGACGCGGAAAATCAATATCCGACCAGTGCTGTGCTAATATGCACTTCAAAGGCTTCTGTATGGCCGTACGAGATTTTCCTTCAAGCGATCGCTTCCTTGTATTATATAACGTGATTGTATTTGACGAAACGTGGTTAAATTCTTTCTAGAATTGAAATGCTTTTTTTTTCTTTTTATTGAAAATAAATTTCAGAATTTTGTTGTTGAGTATATGATTAGTAGGCAGCGGCTTGGCTTGGTCTCTGGCATTGCTGAAGTCCATGGGCGACGGTAACCACTCACTATCAAGTGGGCCGTGTGCTCGTCGGCCTTTTTTATTTATTGCTTAGATGGGTGGACGAGCTCACAGCCCACCTGGTGTTAAGTGGTTACTGGAGCCCATAGACATCCACAACGTAAATGCGCCACCCACCTTGAGATATAAGTTCTAAGATCTCACGTATAGTTACAACGGCTGCCCCACCCTTCAAACCGAAACGCATTACTGCTTCACGGCAGAAATAGGCAGGATGGTGGTACCCACCCGCGCGGACTCACAAGAGGTCCTACCACCAGTACCAGGACACCAGGCCTACAAGGGCAATAACAAAAACATGTTTAATGTTTGTCTAATAATAATAATACACATAAGATAATGTCTTCTAAGCAAATCCACGACAGTAGTGACTGAGAAACAGCTTTGGATAGTTTGAGTAGGCTCAAAATTAAAAGAACTGATTTTTTTTCGATTTAATATCATCTTTTCTGAAGAATGAGAATTGGGAGCTATCGAACGTTATGTGATAAAAAGGGGAAACCTTTGTTCAGCAGGCCGTCAAAGGTTTGATGAATGTGTCCAAAATAGTATGCGCTAGTATTTTAGTAAAAAGTCTATTGAAGTTTTTAAAGACAAACGGACAGCTTAAAGACTTCGTTACAATCGGCTTATAAAATGCATGTTTCAAGTTTATCGCTTTCATTATTTTCCGTTCAATAAAAGAAAAGTTTACTGCCAACGGTATCTCTCTCTCTCTCTCTCTCTCTCTCAAATCATGGTGTCGCATGATTTTTTCATTTTTTCATTCATGATTCATGATTGCTTAGACTGAATGGAAAATTGATGTTCAATCTTGTTTTTTTCCTACATTAACCTGAATGAAACGTTTATATTTAGTACGTTTCAGACATGTTGATAAATAGCCTTTTGTATTCGGCAGGAGGTACTCAGGGGCAACGAACTCAAATATTTTCTTCTTCATAATGAAATGTGATGTTTGTATTATTTTTATCTAAGTATATATTGTGATGTGTATTATTTTTATCTAAGTTAATATTTAGTTCATTTCGTTTTTGTTCAGTCATGTAAAGAACGAATGTTTCAATTTAAATTTTCACGTTTAGTAGGATCCGTGAAACTTTTGTTTTGTTATTTAAAGTGAATAGTGTTTGCAATTAATTCGTATAGCGTTCTAGATAGATCCTATACCACAATTAATGCGGTCTAGCTCGACATTTTACCACAATAAATTTGGATTTGATGTTTCTACAATTTAAGTCCTTCAGAGGCTGTGTCTACACGTAAACATGTAAATTCACTATTTATAGGGTCGCTATTTGTGCAGACATGATATAAACAGGAATGGTAAGTTTCGTAAAGAAAGAATTTCGTAGTGCCAAGTGAAATCAGCTGTGTACCGCTAATCGTTTTTTTTGTCCCAGCGAAGGCTTAGTTAGTACTGAGCAAGAAAATTCATTACAGAACTTCATAGGTACGTCGCTAAAGTAACATTTCGAACACTAGAGATGAGTAGCTTTAAGACTCGAGCTAATGGAACAAATAAACGAATTAACATTGCCGACTTAAAGTATTACTGGTGATAGGACCTCTTGTGAATGCGCATGGGTAGGCACCACCACCCCGACCATTTCTGCCGTGAAGCGGTAACGCGTTTCGGCTTGAAGGGTGGGGCAGCCGTTGTAACTATACAGAGAACTTAGAACTTACATCTCAAGGTGGGTGGCGCATTTACGTTGTAGATGTCTACGGGCCCCAGTAACCACTTAACACCAGGTGGGCTGTGAGCTAGTCCACCCATCTAAGCAATAAAAAAAAAGAGGCAATGATAGTAACAGAATGATTCAACCAAACAATTTAAAAGAACGTCTGCTGATTCAGTATAGTGGAAAGAGATGAACAATATCACTTTCGATGATATTCGATCAATTGATATCCGATACGCTCTCTTCTCTATTGAATCAAATGGAAGGCATGTTATTATATTATATTAAATAAGTAATACTTACTATATGAAATAGTATAAATACTATACAATAAATACTATATTTAAAAGGGTTATATTAAATAAGCAGTACATAAATCAATTTACTGTTTTTTTTTATATTGCTTAGATGTGTGGACGAGCTCACAGCCCACCTGGTGTTATGTGGTCACTGGAACCCATAGACATCTACAACTTAAATGCGCCACACACCTTGAGATATAGTTCTAAGGTCTCAGTATAGTCACAACGGCTACCCCACCCTTCAAACCGAAACGCATTACTGCTTCACGGCAGAAATAGGCGGGGCGGTGGTACCTACCCGTGCGGACTCACAAAAGGTCCTCCCACCAGTAATCACGCAAATTATAATTTTGCGGGTTTGATTTTTATTGCACGATGTTATTCCTTTACCGTGGAAGTCAATCGTGAACATTTGTTAAGTACGTATTTCATTAGAAAAATTGTACCCGCCTGCGGGATTCGAACACCGGTGCATCGCTCGATACAAATGCATCGGACGTCTTATCCCTTAGGCCACGACGACTTAATTCATTTAAATTCATAATTCATTAAAATATGTGTTTAAAACTATTTGGTATTAAGGTGCATTAATTAAAGTTACCTTTGCTGTTTCATTACGCGTTTATTTAACGACTTTTAATAATGTTCCACGTCACTATTATCTTAATTTTATTGCCACAGACGAGTGAATAACTGAAAAGATTAAACGCGAGATTAGTCCGCTTTTAATCACTTCTACAATTCACAAACATCCTCGTAAATGTTGATAAATTAATTTTAATAATTAATTAAGTTTTAAAATAATGAAAATGTTCAAATAATGATCTTGTGTACGTCCTTATTTCGCGAAATTTCCAGTACAACGATCTTAATTTCATTACAAGCAAATGTAATGAATTTTCTTTGATTAACATTCAAAATGTATACGTGACATGCGTCTGTTTATTTGTATTTTAGTAATACCGTTCTCATAAATATGTAAAGTCATTTCATAACTATAAATATATAAATTCGAACATTACGCAAAAACTACCAGGCCAGCTACGGTGAGACTTCGAAAAAAAAAAAACTTACATATAACTATTGGTATTTAAAAAAAAATTGTCAATTCAAAAGGTCAACGACCCTGAGTTACGGATATTTCTTGTTTTTTTTTCGGATTTATCCGCTACTCGATCCTAAATGTACAAATTCTTGTGTAGCTTCGATCTATAGAGGCGACCGCTGATAAAAAAACTGAACTATGACGTTTAGGTAATCCGAGCAAAAGCTAATTTGTCTTGGCCCCCGCAACGAATATAATCAGCATTTAATAATACTATAATAGAAGGTCTTCGATTTCGGATTTCGATTCCTTTCCTTGCAGTATAGTCGTGAGACGATTGTCCACATCTTGACTTGACTACATTGATCTTTTATGAATTATGAGTTCTAAGGTCTCAGTATAGTTAGAGCGGGTGCCCCGCCCTTCAAACCGAAACGCATTACTGCTTCACGGCAGAAATAGGCAGGGTGGTGATACCTACCCGTGCGGACTCACAAGAGGTTCTGCCACCAGTAAGTGAAAAGAACCGGTTTCCTTCTCTATTAAATAGAATACGACGTAAGTAGCCGCACCTGAGATATTAGTATTGTTTTTAAGTTGATATGTTTCTTTACAGGTACAATGCTATCGATTCGTCAACTGATTTTCTTGCTGATACTCAACTACTCGCATCGGGCCTTATGTGCGCCGGTGGCCCAACATTCAGGTAGGTCTTTAAAAAATGGTATCCACTCACTTATGAATAAAAATAGGCTTGTCTGGAGAGCCTTATTGATCTTTGAGAAATAACTATGTACTAGTGGAGCCCCGGTAGTCGAAATTCGACTTTATTTAATTCCAATTATAAGTTTGTACACTATTATGATTCTATTGTCAAAGATTAATAAAATTCTATAATCACAGATTTCGCCAAGATTACACTTTCGACAAATATTAATAAAGACAAAATATTTAACCTATTCTCAATTTGACCAAAGACTATAAGCAATAAGAAAAGTTTGACAATAAACAAATAGTATCCATGCGTGTGTGTGTTAAATACATGGTAGTATGTGTAATGTTTTTTAATTGATTTATTATATTTTTTTATGCATCATTTAAAAAAATATTGAAATTCTGCACTCCTTCTCTATATTCTCTTTAAGTGTGGGAAATTTCATAATCCTCCGTCCGCGAAATTTTCGTAAAAAGTGATACAAAGTTTTTGCTTCACGTATTAATATAGATTCTTTAATATCTTTCCACTCGCAGATTTATCTGTGTGTATTACGCTTTACAATTCGTGAATGGAGGCCTGTGCTCAAAAATGGGAGGAAAAGTAAGCAATATTCATTCCAAGAGTTTCTTTAAAACCGCTTCAGTGGTTTGAGCGTGGAAACGTTATAGAGAGGGTTATTTTCGTACTAATAATATTAATTGTTATGTAAATTTGAACGTCGGATAATATTAAAATAATGTTTAAAAAAGAAGCAAAAGAACACGCCTACATTTTACTCAAGATCTAATATTCACGTACGTATGAAAACTTCACGAACATCCGTGCTAAGGCCGAATAAGTGCGGGAAGACACAAACAAAAAATCACTGGATTATGGTTCTATAATATTATTCTTCTTTTGTTACGTATGTATGTACCTTTTTCTATTATAATTATTGCTTTTCTTCAGTATACACAGACATCGGATTCAATTGTTTCATTACATGTACATATATTCCATACATATAAATAAAATTGAAGTGTGTTTGTAATATTGAAATAACCGCCTTTTACCACCTGCATATATATATACGGTACATACACCAAAATAACATTTTTTACAATTTTTGTCTGTCTGTATATCTGTCTGTTTGTTCCGGCTAATCTCTGGAACGCCTAGACCTTAGGCTACTTAGCTTTATTTAGACTAGCTTCGTCTCGCGGCGTCACCCGTGTTACGACAATAACCACGGGTAACATGGCGGGGCTCCACTATCAATAATAAAATTTCATGTTTCCGAAGCGAAGTGAGGGCGGGTCGCTAGTTGGTAATGTTTGCATGAAACCAGATTAATATTGTTAAATTAAATTTGTATAAGCTCATTATTAAAAAACCACCCATCGAATCGCTTCTGGAATACGAAATAATAAATAAATAAAAGAAAAACATATGTCTTATCTCGTATATGAGTTTTTGATACACATAACCTATTCTCCATTGAAATGAAATAAAACATCAATGATTTTTTATACAACAGATGTGTTATCTTCATAGTAACTGACTCTTCAAATCTGATCGCGCCATATATATCTACATACCTACCGATATAGTACACACACATGTTGACAAGTAGCATTAATGAAAAGTACAAAAGATGGGATAAGCGCGTGAGTAAAAAAGATAGCTATAATTGGAACGATTGCACTTGTTATATTATTATTGCATTTGTTTAGACACGACTAAAGACGAATCGTCCCAATTGGCCCATTTTCGAGTCTTCACTTGACGTGCGCTTGAAACATATCTGCTTCTTTTTACATATAAAATTGTAAAACATCAATTGTTTGATACTACGCGTGCCACCTTTCGTATTTTACTGGTACTCCGACAGAAAACTTTCCCGATTTATTGACGAAGAGAGAACATTCATTTTTATTTATATGTCGGAGAAGCCACGACTATTAACACCATCGTCAGACATCATAGAGACGAATAGGATGATCGAGCTAAGAGAAATATTGAGTACACCAATCACGTTTGTTGTCTTAGAACAATCTAGAAATCTTCTCTTGACGTTAGCAAACGAAAACGAATGACAGTTCTTACGACGGAGGCACCGCTCTTTAAGAAAGCTGGTTGATAAGTGTGTAAAGGCGTCTATGCGTCTCCATCGGCTAGGCTCTGTCGTAGGCTTCTCTCGGATCGTTTGGAGCCTCTGGGTTTGCGGAGGGACTTCGGTTCCCTCTGTATTTTATACCGTATGTTCCATGGGGAGTGCTCTGAGGAAATGTTCGAGATGATACCAGCATCTCGTTTTTACCATCGCACCGCCCGCCACCGGAGTAGAGTTCATCCATACTACCTGGAGCCACTGCGGTCATCCACAGTGCGTTTCCAGAGATCTTTTTTGCCACGTACCATCCGGCTATGGAATGAGCTCCCCTCCACGGTGTTTCCCGAGCGCTATGACATGTCCTTCTTCAAACGAGGCTTGTGGAGAATATTAAGCGGTAGGCAGCGGCTTGGCTCTGCCCCTGGCATTGCTGAAGTCCATGGGCGACGGTAACCACTCACCATCAGGTGGGCCGCATGCCCGTCTGCCTACAAAGGCAATAAAAAAAAAAAAATAGCACGAAGTTAGCCGAGTTCCGACGACATCGCAATCGTGCCGCCATCTATCAGGAAGCGTGCTGCGTTTCGCTTAGCTACCAAACTAATGACCCGTCTCCGACATATAAATAAATAGTCAGGTATATTTTCATGCAGCGATCGTCATTAGTCTGTAGGTCCAAAAAAATTTTGTTCAGAACTAGCACAATATATCAGATTTAGTATATTTACGTACCAGTTACGTATGCATGCCTCCATAATACCTATTATGGAGGCATGCATAGGATGGGATTAGGAGCAATGGACATAGGTATGTCTGTCGCCAAAAATGAATGCTATTCAACAAAATTCTAAAAAGGCTTTATAGTTTCATTAGGAAACGTAACCTACAAATTTCGACTACAAATTGAATTTACGAATTTCTCTATAAGAGTTTAACTTCGACAGCGACTGTTTTTGTTATTACCTTCAGCGATTAAGTTTTCGCTTTGAACCGAAAAGGAAACGGAAGTCCAATGAATTTAAGATACACACACATGTACGTATAACATACACGAGTGTAATTTATATATACGTCATTATACATACATGTAGAATAGGGATCGCAGCGCATAAAATGGAACTTCCAATGTTTCAAATTATTCTGTTTTAATAATAATAATTTAAAATTAATTAACACTTTTATTGTGTACGTCTTGCTAATTTTTTAACCGTCTTCGCCATCTTCCTTTTCTCTGTCATTCTGTCTGCCATTCTTTTCTCCCTTTCTTTCCGTTTTCTCTCACTCACACCTTAACGCTCCGTTTCACACTCTTTTCATACGTTCCGTTCTTACCAATCCTACATACAAGCGGTTCATTTTCCCGGCGGCTAGGCTGTAACATAATTAAAAAAAAACAACTGAGTTGTTGTTTTAATGATATTAAACGAAATCACGCCATGAATTTTAAATTGAGCGAACTTATGTACTACGGTTACTAACTTTTAGTGGTTTCATGCAGATGCTTCGACCTCGGTAATATCACTCTCTGGGGTGCGTCATTTGGTTTTATGGCGTGTAGCTCTTCGAGGAAAGAACATTTTGTCGGCAGATATTTGTTGTGATGTTCTGTGAGATTTAAGGCTGATTTTATATAATTATCTCTTAATAGAGATGAAATTTACTCATAACATAAAATACAACGTTAACGCGTTCACGATACTTTAATCGTTTTAGGTATAATCGGTCAACTTAAAATTTACTTGATCTAAATTATACAAATTTATATTATATTAAGTCGTCGTGGCCTAAAGGATAAGACGTCCGGTGCATTCGTTGTTGCGATGCACCGGTGTTCGAATCCCGCAGGCGGGTACCAATTTTTCGAATGAAATACGTACTTAAATGTTCACGATTGACATCCACGGTGAAGGAATAACATCGTGTAATAAAAATCAAACCCGCAAAATTATAATTTGCGTAATCACTGGTGGTAGGACCTATTGTGAGTCCGCACGGGTAGGTACCACCGCCCTGCCTATTTCTGCCGTGAAGCAGTAATGCGTTTCGGTTTGAAGGGTGGGGTAGCCGTTGTAATTATACTGAGACCTTAGAACTTATATCTCAAGGTGGGTGGCGCATTTACGTTGTAGATGTCTATGGGCTCCAGTAACCACTTAACACCAGGTGGGCTGTGAGCTCGTCCACCCATCTAAACAATAAAAAAAAAACTGAGGATTATAAAATTAAGCATCAAAATGATTATGATTAGAACTACTATTACGGTTAAATCACGCATTTCTTATTGTCATTTTAAATATATTTAATTCAGACGTTTCTGGAAACGTACTTAGTTTTCATGATCAAGGACGACTGTCCTCGTAATAATATAATGGCAGTAAAAAAAAGCGAACCTAAGCCGTAGAAATCATTTTAATTAGAAAATACGGAAGAAAGTAATATCTTATAAATCATACCTATATCATGTAACTAATGGAAATGAATAATTTAGTTTCGTAATAATATGATATTTTAGCACTAATAGTGACAATGCGACTCTATTTAGTTAATATTAATGAATTCTGCGTCCACTAGATAATACATATCTACATCTTCCAAATTCTCCATCCATCCATCTCCATATTTTAGTATAATACCGATACCGAAATTGTTTGAATTTAGAACAGAAATTAAAATGTTCTTGCCAATTTTATTTAAAACTGTACTTTTCAAACAGACAGTCAGAATGTGTAAAACCTTTTGAATGTTTTATTCTATTTGCGTTCAACACTTAGTAATAACAATTTCTGTAATTTTCCGCTCTGTCGACTCTATGAACAAGTTATGAGAGCACAGTTAATCATATTCGAATTTTAATCGTGAATTATACTTATGTTTTGTTCAACGAAATTTATCTAAA